ACCGTAGGGTATTTGTGTCGGATAATTATATATTTCGCATGGTTCATTCATTTATTCACATTTTTCTGCAAAAATTATCGAAAACGAACAATTTAGGCTCAAATTTATACTGTGATAAATTATTATATTGTTTTCAATGTTTATTGTGCTAAGGAACATTTTACTACAAACATTTTCAAAATTGTCTGTAATTGTGTCGATTTTAAAATAGCGTTCGCTAGCTTCACCCTAGTTGCTCTACTATTGAGGTCGGTATGTTAGGGCATTGAAACAATACTAAAATGAAGCCCTTAAAAGTTTCCCAATTTAAAGTGCTAATCAGCACCGGCTTGAGATCATTCATATAGAAGTAAACCGGACCATACCGTGCCGAGCGTCAAAATCCCGGCGAGCGTCGGTTGAGTAAGTCGCTCGGGGTTAGATCGAAGTCACAGTAGAGGGCGCATCGGTCTGTAATAGAACGCGCTGTAGTGGAACAGCGCGTTCTAATAGAATGGCCGGAGCCAACTCTATTTGCCCGGATAAATACCGCCACTCCACTACGGATCCAGGAAAACTCCCGTCATGCTTTGCGTTCTATCATGGCTGCGCCCTCGCAAACTATGGGCCAGCAACATTTGTCAACAGTACACATATCTCGTCTATAGTTCGTATAAGGCATTGTTGTTGTTGTTGTTGGAATTTGGTAAGTACTACTGGATGGTTTCTGGATTTATGACAGAAACAAAATCGGGTGGCTTTTGTATTGGAAGCCGCGAAAAAAACATGTTCACAACGACTCAACCATTGCTTTTATTTACTTGATTGCTTGAAATGATGAATGCCACGTCACACTACGATCGGCATGATTGTCCTCTGATAAGCGGTTGTTGGCTGGGATCACGCAAACAAAAATTGTTGTGTAAATATGTTTACATATGTAACGAGTTTGTTGTAATTCACGCATGGTCTGTTTTGCAGTTAAAACGCAGGCCCACTAAACGCAGCGAGGTGGGCGGGGACATAATCTTAATCCCGTAGAGTATACAGCAGGTGCGCATGCGAAATTCAGCTGTGTCGGCGGCTCCGGGATCATTTTTTGATTAGGGTATTACCGTTACTCAAGAAATATTTTTTTGTATTTTATACACAGTCATCTGAGAACTGAAAATAATTAAATCGTTACTATTTATTATATTTTTCTCTCGATTTCTCGTACTACCAGTACTAAAAAAAACACTAGTTGGGTAACAGGACATCGATTTCTGTGATCCATTTCTCACCTTGCAGGCAAACGTAAGAGCGCAATGTGTATTTGCAGAACTAAAAACGTTGCACAGTATTTCGTTTAATGCACATATTTAGCCCTCAACCCCACCAACTTTGCATAGAACTGGTAGGTTGATACCACAATTCCAGTACAAACAACTCCACTTGTAGTGTTTTAAGATTTAAACTAATCACATAAGTATCTGATAGACCCAATTGCATTCATGCACGAGAGGAAACCATGGGTAGCACGGTCTAACAAATGCCCATACTTGTTAAGAATATACAAATCTTCAGTCTTTTTAACTATGATTATTCAGTACAGTAACTAGAAAGGTATATATGTTCTATGCTTATAAAACAATACCAAAATAAATTCAGAAAGTGCACATTGGATTGGATGAGTCTCATCGTCAGTTAATTTTTCCCTGAGAACAATATTTCTAGATATGCTTGCGGTGATTGTAATGTTGTACCAAAATGAATAGTTAAAAATATATTAGTAAATTTCAGGCAATGCTTAGGGGCTGTGTGTGAACACTACTACTATTTCAACCCCCTTTCCATCTTTTCATCATCACCATCTATTTACAGTTTATGTTATTAGAGGTCAGATAATGAACCAATGATATTGCTGTAATTGTTAAACAGGTTAATGGTAATGTGACAGAAGAGCCATGGGGAGGAAAGATGCCCGCAGACAGCAATTACATGTAGATCAGTACAGGAAAGAAATTGGTAATGAGGAGTATAAAAAAACAAAGAAAGAAATAAAAAAGGCCAGAAGTAAAGCTTTAGCTAAAGACGCTAACTGGAATATTAGGGTATGTATACAGAGTGTCATCAGTCATGTTTGTTTGTTTGTTTGTTACCAATGACATAATATTTTCAGCCTATGTCACCAGCCCACAATTTGCAATAGGACATAATATTTCTGTTATATTGAGCCTATGGTAAAAGCATTATAACACTGACAAAATGACCACTATCCACTAAAATTCAGCCATTATTTTCTCGAACATTGGCCTGGTATTGTCGATGAATACAATTTATTGCAAAATGAATAAATGTTCGGTATTTGCATTTATAAGTAGATTAGTTTATTATTCACTCTCAATTACTGACCATACACTACAAATTCATTCAGAAACATTTTATCTGATCACATGACCAGTGATTTGCATATCCAATTTAATTGCATATACTACTACCTGGGGTATTATACATGTACATGTCCGTAACAATTCAATTTGTGATCAGATAAAAGACAACAGACTTGCCGCCATCTTGCTTTTTTGCCATATTACTTTATTTTATGCATGAGCAACATTTCTCATAATAATAATATGGACTATGTCATTAACAATGACTTGTTTTTTTTTATTTCAGGATGTGGCTATGATATCATTTGCGATGTTAGTCCTGGTATTTGCAGTGTATGGATTTTTTTTCATCTATCTGGAATCTGACCCTCGTTCCTGAGATACTGCCTCTACATATATTTCAACACCCTGATCACCTTTCTTGTAATTTCTAAAACCCTGTTTCCATGTTGTTTATATGTTTGTTTTTGTGCCAGTATCTTAAATGCACCCTTTGTAAATTTGATTATTCAGGAGGGAGGGTGTATCAATTAATATCACTCAAATAACCTAGATAGAAACTTTAAACATACTGCTATCTATTTCACAGCATTACTATCAAAACTAATATTTAAATTAATTATGTCTCTTACATCAATTATATCTCTACAAGGAGATATACCAAATGTTATACAACAGGAAGTTGGAATAACTTGTGTTAATTTTTAATACATGTATATATTTGTCTCATTCTTTCAACTACCCAAGTATTATAAACTAGATTTTCGTCATGGCATTTTGTTTTTTGGCATTTTTGTACAAATTCTAATCCTTGAAACGAAAACACCATGATGAAAGTCTACTTAATAATAGTGGGGGAGTTGAAAGAAAAGAGAAATATAAATATTTATTCCTAATTAAAAATTAACACATCTTATTCCAACTTTCTGTGGATATCCATAACCATTTGTGACATTTATTGACCTAGGTTTCAGGGTACCTTGAACATTTCATGTTCATTTCTATGCATCATCAACATAAATATTAAATAAATAAATTGAAATAAACATCTATGTCTGTTGAATTCTGAATGGTTTGGTTTTATATCACTTGGAATATTGGAATGCATGTAATAAAAGTTTCCATGCTATGGCTTCTAGTAATGAGGTGCTGTTATCACATTACTTTGTGTAACACGGGTATTTCTCACTGCAGCAACTTTGTTGCATTTTTGATTGATGGGCAATAACACATTAATAACCCAAAACGACTATGTGAAATATGTAGCATGGCTTCAAGGAGTCATCAGTAACCATGACTACAATACATTTAGTACAATTGGTGATAACTTTGCATCATTATTCTTTCTAAATCCAAAATGGAAAACAATGGATAAGTCTTCTATATGTTCAACCTGTGACTCATTGAATGAAGTTAATCATTTTGTTCATAAATGTTTATAAATATCAAAAGGTTTCAAAATATAAAGACACCATACTTTCACACTCTTGTGTGTATTGTTACCGCATGACCAACGAGAGAACAGAACAATGGCACCGGGGTGGGGTGTGGAGGGGTGGGGGTGTTCTTGGGGCAGAGGAGACTGTCGCCCACTCAGACCCCCCCCCAAATCAAGCTCAAACCCTTTCTGTCAGTAAAATTTGCCCCTCAAATTGCAGGAATTGGAAAGTCTAAATTTCAGATCTCGCCCCCTCATACAAAATTTGGTGCCGCCACCTCTGCAGAATTGTAATAAATTCATGGGTGACTCACAATGCACAAATGAGTGTTACAAGAGATTTTTATATACATCAGTTTATACACAGATGCACAGGGTATATTTAGATAAATTATATATACATATGTCATGCACACAAGTGCAAAATGCATATACATAAAATTAAACAAAACACAAAACATTAAAATGATAACTATGTTGACAATGTAAACACAATACAACATCCATGTAAACATATGGTACTAAGTTAAGCTGAATTCATATTCATCTCGTCGCTTGAAAACTTTTAAAAAATACAGAGCTAGTTGATATATGGTGTGGCAGTTTGTATAGCGACGAAGTAAGCCCAGACTGTCAGTAATTGCATAATTACATAGGGTTACTGACAAAAGATCAGCCCTTAGATCATTATAAAATGAACATATAAAAACAAAGTGAATGTCATTTTCTACCATGCTGAATTCAAACGTATCACTGCGAAAACTAAAAAATTATTGATCTAACTGTATCTTTTTGTGTCTGCCTAATTCTACATTATGTTTATGGCCAAAACAGCATAAACTCGTCAGTATATATTTTAGTCTATAATTGCTTGCCAATAAATCTCCCAGGTTATAATACTACTTTGATT